TTCCTTTCCTTTCTTCCTTTCCTTTCTTCCTTTCCTTTCTTCCTTTCTTCCTTTCTTCCTTTCTTCCTTTCTTCCTTTCTTCCTTTCTTCCTTTCTTCCTTCCTTCCTTCCTTCCTTCCTTGCTTCCTTCCTTCCTTCCTTCCTTCCTTTGCTCGATCTCGGGACGTTTTCGGTCTGGGTTGGCGATCGGCAGGCGCAGGCGTAGCTTTCGTCTTAGCTTTTGTTCTCCCCTCAGTTTCATCCTCAACGGCTTCTTACGCAAAAGCGCGAAAACCGGTTTTCATCGTGAGAGTGGACTGTTGGCGCCGCAGATGAATATGCACCACGCTGTGCTTCGGAGCGTGAAACCAGGACAAGCCCTCGAAGGAAAACTTAGGTAGGAGTGTCGTTTCCGTCGTCAAATTTGGGTCTCAGCCCATTTTGTAGCAAGCGCTATGGGCACAACAAAACCGATCCAATGAAAAGCACCACGCAGCTTTTGTGTCTTGAGCCAAACACGTCAGTGGTGACTATGTACATACCATACACATATGCTGTGCTATGGTAAGACTCCGTTTCCTTTCGCAGAATGATAGATTCTGGTCTGCTTCATGGGCTTTGAAATTGGTTTTTCGCAAACACATCTGCGTCCTCTGCAAAGTAGGGGTCGGCGAGCAGCTCCATTGCCTCCTTCCTGCGCGCGCCCGAAGACTCAAGATCATCATGCGCATACCACGCCACATCAAGACTGACAACATTTATCTTTCTGTAGAAATCTTTGATGCAAAGAGGTCTGCGCTGTTTGTTCGACCTTGCCGACTTGCCGCGCAGCATCTTTGGCAGCAAGCTGCTGAACTTGCTGTCCAACCTCGAAGCGGATGCAGGGGGCTAGTAAAGAAGAGCCCTTTGATCCTTAGATTTGCCAAGCTATGGCTGATTGCAATACCAGGCACCTCCACCAAAGAGCATTGTAGCGTCATCGTCCTGTGGAAGAACTGGGAGGATGGTGTAGGCATTCAAGTGAATCGTACAGAAAGCTCACTCTCCAGCCAACATCCATGGTTCATCATCTGAGATGTCAATCCCTGCAATCTTCCATCATTGGCCTCACCATCAACATCTCCAATGTAGAAGTGAATCACTCGAATTCCATGATCTTCTACTTCATCATCCCTTTCTCGCATGCCAAAGATGATTGGCTCATTGTTCTTAATTCTTCCGACCACTGATTTTGTCTCTGCTGAGCTACTCTGCTGGCTAACATTGGCATGTTATTGACCAACTGTATGAGTAGTCACTGATTGCTCCTCCTGAAGATGAATGGGCTGGATCACTTGCAACCTGTCAAATATTGTTCCTCCAACAGTCTCGAGCAAGATGTTCTGGCATCCTGGCTTCCCACAAGTGTGACAGATTGCCGCACCTTTACCTTCCTGATCTTGTCCTTTGCCTTTACCCTCGTGGCCACCTTCTTTTCCTTAGTGATCTCCTTTTCCTTTCTTTCCTTTGCCTTTAGCATCTTTACCTTTGCCCTTTTGATGGTCATTCTGTCATTCTTGCTCTATTTTGCACTTTCCTTTGGCATCTTGGACTCGATCAATGTCCATTGGCATGGGTCCTCGGTAGTCTGTACTGCTACTTGCCACTATGGAAGTAGCCCACTTCTGCTGAGAACGGTCCCATTGCAACACTTGTTCCCTCAAAGTTGAGTGGTGAACATTGTCCCCAGTGGTCAAATTCAAGTATGATTTGAGTTGCCCCCTACACATCTCAAAAGAATAGCAGATTTCAGCTCCTCTTGAATTGTTGTTCCTGCCTTAACCGTCTCACCAAATGCTTCTTCAAGCTTCAACAGTTGAGGTTGTAGTGCGCTGTTCATAGAAAATGCTGGCCATGTAGTAGCCGCTCCAGACATCAAATCCAGTGGAGTCCTCCACAGCTTTCACCGGTGGCTTCCCCTCATCAATGAAGCTAACAATCCATAGAGCTTGATGCACCTGGTCTTCTCCTCTGTAGTTGCCAAGTCCATGTCAAGCTTCTCACTTGGCTTGTCATGAATCTCCTTCAAGTCCTTCATGTAGCCTTCATCAACTGCACTCAAATATTTATCAAATACCCATGGCCACTCTCTAAGTGCCTTGACTTAACGTCAAGGATGCTGGGCTTTGCAATCAATTTGGACCACTCTGTTGTTGATGACTTCTTGTCTTCAACGGCTTTCTTGACTGCCTCAGCTGCTGATGTTGTTGCTAGCGTGCCCTGTGCTATAGTCTGAAGGATTTCTCTGACCTCCTTCATCTCCAATCTGTACTAATGTCTTTCTGACACAAAGTGCGGGGTACAGAGTGTCGCTCACAACAATTTATCACCAGTCCAGCTGTTTGGGTTCCAAAGGCCCCAAATCTATGGCTCGAAATCGCGCCCGGGATCCCTGTGACCTGGGGCTTTTCTCTCTGGAGCTCAAAGGGGTTACCCTTATCCTTGCTCCGCTACCATGCAAACTTTCCCCTTAATCCAAAAGGGCTCCAGTAGGTCATGCTGATGCCAAATATGCTATACAAGTTACATGTGAACACTGAAAATGCTTCACAGTTGCGATACTTGCTGTCAAACATCGATGCGGATAGAGGGAGCGACTGCCTTAAGAATTGGGGGTTCCAAAAGTTGGGGACACATGGAGCAAAGCTCTCGCCGAAATCCACATGGTCTTCACCCGGTCTTGTTCATAGGCTTAATAGAAATGGAGAAAGCATAGAAATGGCGCGCAGGTCTCATGATGTGGAGGTAGTAGCGTCCTTGCTCCTAGTAGCGATGCCCTTTGCGAAACCATTTCCTCCACATTGCTACTAGTAAGGCACTTGTTACTACTAGCGTGGCACTTGTTACTAGTAGCTTCTTGTTACTACTAGTAAGGCACTTGTTACTGCTCTTGGAGGTGGAGAATCACAATGCTCTTGGGAGTGAGAAACTTCGCAGAGCGGGCTCTAAAGAGGCTGTCTTGTGTGAACCCTTTGCATGACTGCCCACGGACATGGTGTTACAAAGGAGGTGTCCCTTCAAGTGGACTTTTACATCATCGCATAAACGCATCAAATTATCTTACATCACCACTCATCATACACATATCCAATCCTCTTTCCAAAGAACTTCCTCATTGGAAAAAAGGATTGGATACAGTATATGTATGATGCTTTAACATG